TCACTGGCTGAGCATGGTGCGGGTGCGACACCGAGGGTTGCGATCCCGTTACCGGTCAGTAGAAAAAGACAAAAAGGAAAAGAAAAAAAAAAAAAAAAACATAACTAAAGATCATGATTCTGATGGCATCAAACTTCAGGCAATACACAATAAGGTTTTGGTTTTGATGGGAGAAAGAGAAATGGTAACAGAAAGATACATGAATTCAATCATAGGGTCTAGATCGCTCACTCAGCTTCTAATCTTTCTAAGATCCTTGTTTCTTGCCTCCTGGTCAGTATTTGACTTCTAATACTCTCCCCCAAAGGATATTTGGCGGAGGAGAAAAAAATGAAAAAAATCTGATAAAAGAGGCATTAAACCTAAAGTATGGACCAAAATTAGAGCTTAAAATTATGTGGTAATTTGCTGTAAACTGAGAATCCACTATACTCTCAAAATTCTTTTCTATTTCAGCTTCACCTGTGTTGTGCACTTCAAGTTACATATCGGAGAAGGTAAAATGTTTTTAATAGAAGATGTGAGAGCAAAGTAGGACAATTATGACCCTTGGTGAAAGCTTAAAATATTAGTCATAGATAACCAAAATTTTAACATTAATAAATGACAAAGAAGTCTTTATCTCACACAAATCTTATTTTATTAAAAATTTTGAAAAAATTTTTCTTTTCAAATATGTTTATATATTTTCTTTCCTTTCAAGCATTTTTATTTTGAATAATTATAGATTCACTCCATCTTTTAAAAAACAAAGTAAATTTTATTTTGGGGGGAGGGACATACGGTGCACAAAACTGACTTAATATTCAATACGTGAAATACCAACATCAGAGCTGGTGGGAGGCCCCACTATAGTTTTATTTTTTCTTTTCATCCTTGAAAGAATCACCCTCCCAATCCTTCCCCCACAAAATCTGGCACCCGATCTAATGTGACTAATACAGGTCCCTGGATGTGCACATAGCCTCATGAATTAAGTGGTTTGGGTATGTTTCTAATTTATATAAATGGGATTGTTATGTTTCAGCCACATTTTACCTATCTTTCTATTTTCAACTCCTCACTACCATAAAAAATGCAGTAATAAACATCTTCATCATGTTACCTAACGGATCTGTATAGAAGTTTTTCTGAAAGAATGAGATTGCTGGGTCCTATGGTTTACGTCCACTTCTCAAGGCCTGGGTGCTCAGAGAAGGGATGAACCTGCTCATACTTCCACTGACTGTGGGAAGCTGCCTGTTTCTCCACAGCTTTGGGGTTATCTTAATTTTACCTTACTTACTTTACTCAATTTTGAGCATAAAGTGATAATTTTAAGATTACTTTAAAATATTTTCTAATTATTGAGGGTGAATATTTCTTCATGTGCTTGCTGATCATTAGAATGTCCTCTTCTGGGAATTACTCATTCAGATCATTTGCCAATTTTTCAATAGGATTTTCAATGTCTTTCATACAGAGTTGCAGGAGTTTCTTACATATTCTAGAAATAAATCTCTTATTAGTGGTAAACATTGCAAATACCTCCTACCACCTGTCGTCACCTGCTAATGTGCTTTCACTGTACAAACATCTTTAATTTTGATGCTGTAAAGTCCATCAATATTTTCATCTTACATTTATGATGTGAGATCTTATTTTCATTTCCAGTAACAAAGAAAATCTCTTACATTTTCTATGTTTTTAATTTTTCAAATCAAATTAATACATGAACATAGTTGAAAAAATAAAATAGTATTACAGAGCTTATATTAAAAACAAAAGTATCCCTTTGCCCCAGCCCTTCTGCCTAGAGGCAATTTCTTTTCACTCTTTTAGCTACTCCCCTCTTTCTATAATATATCTCCATACTTGGGGAGGGGAGACAACCCATACTGCTTTTTTTTTTATTTGAGACATTATCTGTTGACTTCCTGTTACGATAGAGAGAGGCAATTTCTTTTCACTCTTTTAGCTACTCCCCTCTTTCTATAATATATCTCCATACTTAGGGAGGGGAGACAACCCATACTGCTTTTTTTTTATTTGAGACATTATCTGTTGACTTCCTGTTACGATAGAAGAGGATTTGGCACCTTTACACCACCCTTTTCCTCCCTTCATTTCCCCAGTATTGTTATATAGCACAGTTTTAGATTTTTATATTTAATGTGTAAGCTATTATGACCCAGGAATTATTATTCATTAATAAGTCAAGAAGTTATACTTTTTCCTGTTCTATAACCTTTTGATTTTTCTGAAATTAATGGT